CTGAGTTTCACCACACCCCAAAAATAAACAAAAAATTCCGAGAACTGATGGCCGTCTTTCCTTTGGTACGATACGGACCGCATAGAAAACGGAAAGAAATATGAACGGACACACAGGCGCACAGACAGGAAAGTGATCTCATAAGTCTCAAAACTCTAAAAGAAATTATCGGGAGATACACAGACATATGGATAAACACGCAGGGATACACCGACAGAAAAATGATTACATAAGCCTTCTTTTATTGTTTGAATATAAGGAAAGTAGTCCAAAAAGTAGCTTAACAATAGCCCAAGACTGCTTTCTTAAAACATCCCTTCCGACTTAGTATCTGTAATTGTTCTGTCATGTGTCACTCAAAATTAAATAACCCAAGTTCTTGAGTCGGCGTTTGAATTAACAAAATAGCCTACACATTCTGTTACTAAAAAAGTTTTCTTTTTTCTCACAGTCCCGGTGACAGTGGGGTATGCGGACGACAGGTTTCAGCTCTATAAATTGTGTTCACTTGTTTTATTTTCGACAAACGCAGACCAGAAGGTAATTATCTGACCTCTCCGTGGGTTTTGCCGTGTTTCTCCTATCACTGTAGAAGTAATGAGAGAAGTTAGGAACGTCCGTTGCAAATAAATCGATTTTCACTTGTTTTCACAGTTTCTGCTGGTATTTTATCCATATCCACATGAACCCTGTGAGGTGTATGTAGGTTGGGGTTGGTTTAAGGAACAAATTTACAAAGTTCTACAACCCTTCCAGTCATTACAAGACTACGGAACTCGAAACAGTGTCCTTAATGTTATGTCCAATTGATATATCTTACCTAGAGGCTCGCAACAGTACTTAAGGTAACGTAGCGAAATACAATACCTCGTTCTACTATTTAATGGAAACACTTGGCAAGAGTGAGACTAAACGAACTATGGGTGCGATGAGATATAAGATGTTTGATATGTGTTTACTGTGACGAAGGGTCCATGTAACTCAGTGAAGTATAATACAATTTGACAAACCGATAGTCAGTCAGCTGGTCAATATACTTCACACACTTTTAGAACTAGAAGTTATTCAAAATCATACAAATAATAAAACTTTTATATTGAACTGAAAATGTAAAGGTATTTTCTGAAATTATGTAAGTGAATGTCGAATTAAGTTTGCAGATAAGACGGCGCAAATTACACGTAAATATAAATTTATACCAGATAGTTCGCTTGAATGTTGCATTCTGCAAGAGCAGGATTCAAATCTCTGCCAGGATGCCCACTGTGTTGGCTTAGGTTCTCATGATTTTCCTCAGCGTTCCCAGGCAAATAACACGATAGTGACATAAATGAGGGAAATAACAATTTCTGTCCACATTCTTCAAATATACTTTGTTCATATCATCCAGTTGTTTGGTGCTATATTTTTTAGCCTAGATCACTGACAGCCTCATCAAATTGACTATAAATAGAATAGTATACAGCGAGATCATTGGTACATCCTGTATAATCGCTTACACTCATGGAGCTGAGCCCTTCTTGAGAAGCTGCCAATTGTGGAGCTTCCCAGCATTTTATGGAACCCGAAGGTTCACTTCCATGTTCACAAGAGCCCTCCAGCGGTCTCTACCCTGAGCCAGATCAATGCAATCCAATCCATATCATCCCATCCTATCTGTCTGAGATCAATTTTAATATTGTCCACCCACCTACGCCTTGGTATTCCAAGTGGTCTCCTTCCTTCTGGCTTTCCCACCAATATCCTATATGCATTTCTCCTCTACCCATTCGTGCTACATGCCCTGCCTACCGCATCCTCCTTGACTGCATCAATACTTGGAGAAACGTAAAAGTTATGAACCTCCGCATTATGCAGTTTTCTCCAACCTCCTGTCACTTCATCTCTCTTCGGTTCAAATATTCTCCCCAACACCCTGTTCTCAAACACCTTCAGTCTGTGTTCCTCCCTTAATGTCAGAGACCAAGTTTCACATCCATACAGAAAGGCAGACAAAATTATTGTTCTGTATATTCTAATTTTTATGTTTTAGACCGCAGCCGAGAAGACAAAAGGTTCTGGACTCAATGGTAGCAAGCATTACCCGAGTTCAGTCTCCTCTTAAACATCCTGTATAATACATAACTTAAATAACATGCCGTATTCTATGCATTACAGTGGATGATGTAAGAAATAAAATGTGGTAAACCAATCAAATAATTTGAAATAGTAAGAAAAGTAATACTGTTACTTGGAATGAAGAGACGTGTGTATTTGCGAGGAAGAATAAAACCCATGAATACATTTAAAATAGCTCATTTGCCTCAGAGAAAGTGGGGAGACCACATGCAAAAGCTTTTACAGTTTGAAGCAGTCAAAGCGGACGGGAAATTAGCACTACAGAAGAATAATGCTGTGTTACAAAATTGTGTATCGCTTTTATTAATTGAGTTCTAGCGAAGTCTGTTGAGTATTAAAGCGAAAATATGAATAAAGTATTGCGTTCTTTATGTTAAATTTGAGTGAGTACTTTAAAGGCTGACTTCTTTTGTAATATCGTAATTTAATTGAAAGCTTTTGATTGGTACATTTAACAAATGCGTCATGTACGAATTCTAGAATTGTACAACTAAATATGTTATATTTATTTCAAATTAAAGCAGTCCATAAACTTTGTATTGAAAGTGAAAGGGTGTTCATGTTGTTTATTATGATGGAAGCTGTTATTTCGATATTTCCTCGCAAACACACATAGGTGCCATTTTTGTGTAGTTAGTCCCTCTATAACTGTAATCAAACGCCTTCTCTCTGTATGTAAAGCTATTGTCAAATTTTATAGAACACATTCCAAAATTTTACCTCAAGTTTTAATCATGATCCAAATTGGATAACATACTTCGCAGGAAGATTGAAATACGTTATAGGTACAGAGTAAACACTCATTATAACGGACTCGAATATAAAAAGTTTATCGTCCGTCAATATTGCAACACTCTTCCATTGACCACTCAGTTTTTAGTTTAACATTATACACCTACACACTACATGTTTCGGCCCCAAACGTCCATCTTCAGGCGTCTTGATATATTACAATTATTTTATTAAATTGTGTTAAAACTGTTACACTGTCTTAGTTCGTGTTAGAATCACACGCTGTAGTCCTGTGTGATTTTAACACGAATTATGACAGTGTAGTAGTTTTAACACAATTTTATAAAATATTTGTAACATATCAAGACACCTGAAGATGGCCGTTTTGGGCCGAAACATGTGTAGATGTATAATGTTAAACTAAAATTGAGTGGTGAATGGAAGAGTGTTGCAATATTGACGGACGATAAATAATTGACGTTAAGTTGAACAATTGCAACGGGATGATGAAATACGGAAGTACAAAATTTAGCTGGTTACGTTTTTGAATTTTTAGAGGTGTTAAGGCACTAAAAAGGTCTTTTAGTTAGAAAATTATTTAAAATAAAAAGGACCCAAATATAAAAACCTTTGCGTAATCACTTTCTGTGTTTCTATATTTGTATTGGCTGTGTATCCTGAAGTATAAAGGTAAAGTTGCCCTGTGCTTAACTAATTAAGCATTATACCATGAAGGCGTATGGGGGAGTGGATGTATAGACCCACATTTTCTTGACTTGGGCACTAGATGGAGGTGTGTGGTCAGCTACACGCCCTTGTCGCTTTAACCCTGGGAAAATTACCCTCGCTACCCGTTTGATAGGAGGCTGGGTGGGTCCCAGAGCCAGTCTGGACGACGTGGAGAACAGAAAATTCTTGACTCTACCGGGACTCGTACTCCGACCCCTCGGTCGTCCAGCTCGCAGCCAGTCTCTATGCCGACTGAACTATGCCGGCTCCCATCCTGAAGTGTACTTCTGCTAATACCCCTTCACTCGTTATAGCGGACATCGGCAATAACGGAACCCTGTCCTCCCTATTATTCTGTTATACAGAGGGTTTACAGCATTTCATTAAAAATTAGATCGAACAAACCTTATAGATGCAATTTTAATAGCCAGTAAACTACTAATTACGTATATATATATATATCATCTTTATACAAATGTTTCGAAAATGGCCATTGTCGAAGTCACCCATGCATAAACTTAATGCTACCTAAGCACTGTGCGTTTAGGAGAATGAGAAAACACTCTCTGTTCGTTGAACTTCAAAACAAGGTCTCACATGAGTGGTCAGCTTCAACCTTCGGGTCCATTTACTCAGGCAAAGATCCAACAATAATAATAAGGGAATAGCCAGGTTTTCCCCAGGCTCTTCCTCAATTTTGTGGCCAAGATAAAATTTCCCTGCCCATGCCGGAAAACAAATCCTGGTCATTCAGCCCACAGTTAGTTACTTTGAGATTGAGCTGTCCCGGATCAAAAATATGATTCGTAATAATAATAAAATGTTCACTCAATCGAACGCTGGGATCGTGGGTTCGAATTCCACTCAAGTCATTGTTGTCTGTGTGCGTTTACTCTGTGTTTGTGTTGTTCTGTGTGTATGTAGCGGCCTTTCGACGGGCTGATCCCCCGGCCAAGGAGTCCTACCGACTGTGTAAAAGATCAAAGAAACTGAAAAAGCGGCCAAGTCCGAACCATAGAGAGAGAAAAATAATGAATGGCGGCTTGAACTAAAGCTGTGTGATCAGATAGGATTTTCCAATAAGTAATTGATGTGTGAATTGTTCTATCTTCTTCTATGTAACGCAATGTAATCCGTTGAAAGTCAGCCGACTTTCAGTGGAACATGTCGCCTCAATCTTCAGGTCGGAGAGGAAGCCGAGTAAGAAACCAGCCTGAAAGCAGGTGGCAAGCTGAGCGTTGTATAGCTGAAGATAAAATTCTTCATAACCACAGCTCTGAAAACCTGGAATCCTCCATTATTGATGCTTGGCTGTGGAAGATGTTGGAGCGACTTAACCTTGTTCGCCACTCATGTTGTGTATTGTAAATATGTGAACAGAGTTCATTTTTTTGTACAGCTAAGCCAATTTATGCTTTCAGACATGCCAAGAGACGTTCGTAATGAGGCGTAACCGGCCTTCCCAGTAAGGAGACAGTTGTTCTGCAGCTCAACGACAGCCAGATCTGTAGCAACAAGGTACGAGCTTTACGCAGTAAGGCATTAGACCAATGAAATGGAGAGCATCATTGTACGGTTCAGTACATTATTCTTTTCGCCGTCCAACTTGGTTTCTGATCTAATCTCATGATGTATAAATGCATCTCACTCTCCGTTTTTATATTTATGACAAGATTCATAATGGCGATGATAATTTAACAACTATGTATCAGAAATATAACCTTCTCTTGCTAAGAACTGCGTCAATTCAGAGTCCATATCTAAAGATTCGAAGAAAATTTCTGGCTCTATCATCAAGAAATTTTATAGATCTGCTGGATAAAAATGGTTTTAAAGTATTACACTGTGTACATGAGCAACAGTGTTTACGAAGACTTGAAAGGCTTGTTTACGTCTACTGAGAGTTTAGAAGTCGGTTTGCTGAAATTGATTAAGTAATGAGAACCATGGCTTATTTTATAACAGCAACGATTGATTCTTTCGTGATTTATGTAGTGACACTTCGTGTAATACGCGTAACATTCATATACTTGCATTTCGAGATTCTCTTCCTCTGCTTACTATATACATTATTAAAAGTTCATGGCACTTCTACTAATTTATTCTTACTTGTATGGGTGACTAAAGACGGGGTTCGGATTGGCAATTGGTTTTATTAAGCACCTACAGGTCGTAACTACAAACACTGTTGCTGATTTACGCAATTAACAATCACTCCATACTAATCTTCTCTGACTATTTCCACTAGTCTTCACCGACTTAAACACAGGAACTATAAATGTCTCACTAAATCACATACTTCCAATACCACTGCGCTATAGCAGACATAAAGTCTTCAAATCACACGCTATATACTTACACGCTGACTTCCTGTACTCTTCTGTACTCCTGGTTACAATTCGCTATGAACTTACATCTCACGGCTTTCGTTATATAGTGACGCAACCGACATGGACCTACAGTAAACACATATCACGTGATCACTATCCACCCAGTCTATTGGCGAGTCGATCGGTTCTACAGAAAGCATAGCTTCCTCTGTCTTTGCGTGTTGGACCGAGTTTACAGAGCTGTTGCTTGGCAACTCGTTGATTAAATCTGTTAAAACCAATAAGATATTGTCACGATTTAGGGGTGTAACTATAGACGGGGTATGAATGTGTGAATGGATTTGTTTACACAGGTCGAAACCACAAGTAGTTCACTGATACACACACTATTAGCCTCAATCTAGCCTCCTTTATCCGTTTCCTGATAACGAATTTTAACACAGTCTCACTGAATTACGGCGCACGTAAAATCTTCTCTCCACAATCCGACTGCACACTCAGCACAAATTCACTAGCTGTCTTCTTTTATTACCACTTTGCAAGAACCGGAATGAAAACATTATCGGAACCGTTGATTAGCAATGGACGTCACCTCTGGCTCCACTATTCCAGCCTTCATGCGTCATGTAACAATATTATCAAGTTCTGGGATTTTACGCATGTATTTTGGTTGATACATAACTCCTAACCTCTCGGAGGTACGTGTCTGCAAGACTACACTACGTCTCAACCCCACAGACTGTCTTCAAAATTGTCCCCTCCGTAAGCACTCCTAGCCACGCGCATGAGTAACAGAGTTCCCGTCACCAGTGAATAGTGCATAAATGAATACCTTATTAGGCTCTTCACGGTCTAAATTACGGAGAGCGGTAATACGACGTTGCGGCATATCACTTAAATTACTATTTCTGCAACACAGAAGTAATCTGTTTTGAAAAGAAAGTAAAGGTATCCCTGTATCAGGCCGTGTGGGCCATAGGGTTGTGAGATGTTGAGGTTCCCACATTTTCTAGACAATCCGCTCACAGATGGCGGCAAGGTTGTCAGCCCTACGCGCCGGCCGCCCTTAACTTAATTACTTACTTACTCATGGAGCTCAGCCCTTCTAAAGGAGCCGCCAATTCTGCAGCTACTCGGGAAAATTCCAACATTTTATGGGACCCGAAAGTTCATTACCGTGTTCACAAGAGCCCTCCACTGGTCCCTATCCTGAGCCAGATCAATCCAATCCATACCATCCCATCTTATCTCTCTAAGATCCATTTTATATTGCCCACCCACTTAAGCCGTGGTCTTCCCAGTGGCTTCCTTCTGGCTTTCCCCCCAATATCCTATACGCATTCCTCGTCTCCCCCATTCGTGCTACATGCCCTGCCCACCTCATCCTCCTTGCCTTGATCATTCTAATTATACTTGGAGAAGAGTACAAGTTATGAAGAACCTCATTCTGCAGTTTTCTCCAACCTTCTGTCACTTCATCTCTCTTCGGTCCAAATATTCTCCTCAACACTCTGTTCTCAAACACCCTCAGTCTATGTTCCCCCCTTAATGTCAGAGACCAAGTTTTACATCCATACAGAACCACAGGCAAAATTATAGTTTTGTATTTACTATAGGATTCTGACGATGGTGTATAACACACTGATATGTTGGGTTTTTGGACTTTATCCATCGTCCTGGTTTTTAAGATAACAAAATAAAAACAATTTTGTTATCTTAAAAGCCAGGACGATGGATAAAGTCCAAAAACCCAACATATCAGTATAGTTTTGTATATTCTAATTTTTATGTTTTTTGCCAAAGACGAGAAGACAAAAGGTTCTGGGCTGAATGGTAGCAAGCATTACCCGAGTTCAGTCTCCTCTTAATTTCCTCCTGAATCAGGTTTTGATCTGTAATCGGCGTTCCCAAATATCTGAACTGTGCCACATTTTCAAAACATCTGCTTTCTATCGTTTTGTCATGAATTTTGCCTGCATTTTGGTGACGAGACAGCAACATATACTTAGTTTTCTTTGTGTTTACTTCTAGACCAACCTCCTTACTCGCATCTGTTGAAGTTTGTGTGTTTTTCTTTGTGGTATCTACATTATCACCCAATAGATTCACATCATCGGCATAGACCAATAACTGATCTGCCCCGTTTAATTTCAGTCCCACCTGGACCTTCCTAATGGCATATTATAAAGCAAAGTTGAAAAGGAGTGGCGATAAAGCATCTCCTTGTTTTAGACCATTCTGAATAGGAAATTTATCAAACAAATGTTTCCCTATCCGGACTTTACTATATGTTTCGTATAAACACATTTAATCAACCTAACTAGCTCCATGGGTATCCCAAACTCTATCAGAATAGTGTACAATAGTTCCCTCCTAACTGAATCGTAGGCTTTCTTGAAGTCTATGAATAGCTGATGTACTGTCTCATCGTACTCCCATTTTTCTCCAATATCTGACGAATGCAAAAGATCTGAACAGTAGTTGATCTGTTACTTCCAAACCCACACTGATGATCCCCAATAATTTCATCTATATATGGACTTAACCTTGAGAGAAGAATATTGGACAAAATTTTGTATTAAGTTAATATCAGTGATATCCCCCGATAATTACTACAGTCAGTTTTATCACCCTTCTTGTGAACTTCTTCTTGTAATAGACTTCTTCCACTGATCAGGCAATTTTTCCTTATTTCAAATAGAAGTAATTAGATTGTTGATCTTAGAACGTAATATATTGCTTGAATAAGTTCTGCTGGAATTCGATCACTACCTGACGATTTATACCGTTGCAATTTTGCAATAGCACTTTCAACCTCAAAAGGACTAAGATCGGGTATTAACGGCTCAGCTCTATGGATTCCTGTCTGCCTAACATCACTGACCCTATGTACATTCAATAACTCATAGAAGTAGTTCCTCCACCTATTCAAAATATTATGGGAATCTGCAAGCAGATCACCATTCTCGTCCTTCACTAAGTTACTGCTAGGCTGGTAACCCATCTTAAAGTCATTTATCCCTCTATACAGGTCTCTAATATTCTCGTTCTTACTGTTCATTGCAAACTCATCAATTTTGTCTTTCAGATATTCCCTCTTTTTGTTCCTGAAATGCCTGCTGGTTTCACGTCTTATATTGTTCAGATTATCCCCATTTAACTCGCTTGGATCCTGTAACCATTGCAATTTAGACTGCATTATTTGATCTAATAATTTTGAGTATCTTTTATTGAACCATGGCCTACACTTCTTCGGTTCAGAATAACCTAGACTCTTTTGGCAGACATTTTTATATTCTCCCTAATACTTTCCCAAGCTTTATTGACATCCACCTCAGTTTCCAAGTTTTCCAAAGCCGCGAACCTATTTGAGATTTCAGCACGATCCTGCTCTTTACCCTCTACCTCATTTAATTTCTTGAGATTGAACCTCTCCATGTGAACTCTTTGTGTTGTTTGTTTGATCACTGCCAGTCTTACCCTAACTTTTGCCACTACCTGGTAGTGCTGAGTATCACAATCTGCTGCATTGAATGATCACACATCAAGTATACTTGAGTGCTGTCTCCTGTCTATCAAAATATGGTCTATTTGATTGTGTATCTTCCCATCAGGAGATGTCCAAGTAAATTTGTGGATGTTACTATGTGGGAACATTGTACTTTTGACAGTAAGATGTTTTGATGTGGCAAAATTTACTACTCTAACTCCATTATCATCACTAATTTCATGCACTCTCTAATTCCCAATCTCCAGTTTGAAAATGTCTTTCCTCCATACTTTGGCATTGAAATCTCCTAACAACATTTTTATAGGGTACTTCGGGAATTTATCGAATACCTGTTCTAGTTCTTCATAAAATCTATCCTTTATGTCATCAATTTTATCTTCTGGCCGCCCTTTACCCCCAAGAATATCCCTGGTACCCATTTCTGTTAGAGGCTGAGTCGACCCCAGGGCCATAGTGCGGATGGAAGGATTAGGTCAACTGAAAAAATCCAATAACTTCATCAGGACTTGTACCCGCGACCTTCCGGCTTGTAGCATAGGGCCTCAACCAACTACGCTACCGCGTGCCCCCAATCTGATATATATTAACATTTTAATTAATCATTTCCTAATATTTCCTTTACTAATTGTCTCGTTCTCTATCTGCTTCACTCTATTTCCTGCTAACCAAAACCAACA